GAAACGATGTACAAATGCGCTTTACACAATTGATGTGTGTATGGATTGGGATAACAGTTGTATGAGCCCCTAATAAAATGTTAAAAAAGAGGGAAAAAAAGAAAAGAAAATATAAAAAACAAAACAAAACAAAAAAAAAACCATCCAGGGCACCTGATGGCACCAGGAGTCCCATGAATATGCAGGTAGTCCCTTACGGCATTCATTGTCATATGGGCCAGTCACCTATTAGCTCCTGGATGGCATTCAGCTGAGCTCACCATGAACACTGGACACCCTGCCTTTGTCCAGAGGGGCTAACAGCAGTTACTTGGGTGGGTGTTGCAAGCCAGACCTCATTGGTTTATCAGACCCTGGTAACGGGTCAGAGAGGTCTTGCACGACCGTGGCTCTACACTCCACCTGTGGTGGTAGTGAAGCCATTTGAGTGTGCGATTCTCTGGGTCACCCACAGTTCTGTTCATGGCTGTCCTGCACTCTTTTTCAGAGGCCCCCATCATCATGGCCCACCGCTTCCCAGCCCTCACCCCAGAGCAGAAGAAGGAGCTCTCCGAAATCGCCCAGCGCATCGTTGCCAATGGGAAGGGGATCCTGGCTGCAGATGAGTCTGTAGGTAAGCGTGCCAGACACAGCGCACTCTTGATTCTACACGTCACAAAAGCTACTTGGTAATTGCATGCTCCTACCTCACCGAGGAAGTGAGACTCGGAAACTCAGAAAGCACAGACCTAGCCCTGTTGGCAGATTCCTGAAAACTAAAGGGAGAGGCACAAACTCTCAAGGTTAAGTCCAGGTGCCTTAAACCAGGGCTGTAGCCGTACCAGACACGGGCTAACTGGGATGAGGTTAGATAGACAGACATCTGCTGTGAATGGGAAGTCAGGCTACAGCAGGGTCCCCTAACAGGTTCTTCCAAGTTCAATCCACCTTCCGTGAATTTGCATTTCTACCTCAGATATGCTGAATCAGAATCTACATTTTATGAAGCCCCCCCAGGTGATTTATAAGAAATACAATGTAAGATGTAGAATCTTTTTCAGGATATCTGGGAAATGCAAATCTCAGCTGGAGGGCTTCTCTGAGCAAACTAGTTCCACTGCTATTGGGTCAATCCTCACTGGGTGGTGACCCTGTAGGACAGAGTAGAACTGCCCTGTAGGTTTCCGGGAGTGTAACTCTTTAAGGAAGTAGAAAGCTCCTGCAGAGTGGCTGGTTTTGAACTACTGACCTAGTGATTAGCAGCCCAATGACTAACCACTGTGCCACCATGGCTCCTGGGGACCAGTTTGAAGCCCTGGGTTAAACTCAACCAAGTTGGTGAGGGTGGCAGAGCCTGTGGCTGAGCGAATCCCAGGCTGGCACAGGGGGCAGATGTGGTGAGCCTGCACCACCTACATCAAAAGGCACAAAGTCAGAGGAGGCAAGAGCCTGCCCTACCTCTCTTTAGTCAGATGGGTGGCAGAGAGGCTCTATGTTGGGCGGCTAGCCACAAGGTCAGCAGTTTGAAACCAAAAGTCATTCTGTGGGAGAGACAAGTTTTCTACTCCTGTGAAAAACTAGTCTTTGTAAAAATAAGAAATTCTGTTTGGCCTTAATAAATAAATAAAATAAAACAAGAGGGGCGGGGGAGAGTTAAAGTCTCGGAAGTTTTACCCTATCCTATGAGTCAGCATCGACTGAGAGTGGGTCAGATTGGAGACTGGGTCTAGGGAAGGTAGAGATACCAGAAGGACTGTCATATTCAAGTGGCTTCCACCTAGACCCCTGTATACGCAGTGGACTCACGGGCCATTTCCCAAGCAGTATCCTGACAGAAATCAAGATTGTAGTCCACCATGAGGCAAACCAAATGAAGCTGAAGCGTTGAAAATGGGAATTTCCGAAAAGAGGGTTGTTTTCCTTCCTGGTAGGAGAGGGGACAGGAAAGCCCTGCTTGAACTCTTGCCGCCTTGACCCTGCCCTCCTTAGGCACCATGGGAAACCGCCTGCAGAGGATCCAGGTGGAGAACACCGAGGAGAACCGCCGGCAGTTCCGAGAAATGCTCTTCACGGTGGACAATTCCGTCAACCAGAGCATCGGCGGCGTGATCCTTTTCCACGAGACGCTCTACCAGAAGGACAGCCAGGGGAAACTGTTCAAAACTATCCTCAAGGAAAAGGGGATCGTCGTGGGAATCAAGGTGACTCTACGTCTGGCCCCAGCCTCACCTGAGGCTCCCTCCCAGCCCATAGGCCGGGCACGGCCAGTGCTCGCAGCAGCCTGGACACGCATGCGTCCATTGTCTTCTAGACTTCTCTGCCCTCCTGGTGTCCTGGTCTCTCAACGAGCTTGCCTCAGAGCATGTAATCTCTTGACATCTCAGTTTCCTCAGGATGAAAGAACTTTTGAAAGCAGTTCCTGTGACAAAATAGTTGAATCAATATGATTAAAAGGAGCCCTGGTGAGGTAGTTGATTACACAAAGTCAGCTGTTCAAATCCAATAAGATTTATAGTCTTGGAAACCCAAAGGAGCAGTTCCATTCTCGCCTATAGGGTCGCTATGAGTCAGCATTGACTCAATGGCTCACCCATTCACTTCCATTGAGTCAATGTTGACTCATAGCAACCCTATAGGGCAAGATAGAACGGCCCCTGTGAGGTTCCAAGAAGACAACACGTGTTTATGGGAGTAGAAAGCCCTGTCTGTCTCCCACAGAGTGGCTGGTGGTTTGAACTGTGGACCTTGTAGATCATAGCCCAATGTGAAACCACTCCCCCACCAGGGCTCCTCTTCACTCAGTGGTGTTAGGTTACTCTGATTTTAAAGTAACCTACTTTACTTTATATACAATTATATGCAAGATGGAACAGATATCTTGCATATAATTCTGCCTGTGATGAATACTGCATAAACTTCTTGGGTGAAAAACTAGGATTTGTTGGGCACTTGCAATGCCACACACTCATTTAACCCTCAGAAAGTAGACTCAGTCATTATCCTTATAGAGATGAGGTGACAACATTGAACTAAAAGAGACACCAGAGCTCGCTCACCATCAGTGAAAGGTAGAGCTGGGTTTATCTCAGGCTTTCTAACGCTAGGAACCTCTGCTGTTCTGAGAGCCGAGCCTACAGTCTTATTCTCTTGACCTCCTGTAATAACATCTCTCACGGTCATAGACAGAGAGCAACCCCATAGGACAAGGTCGAATCATCGCTGGGGGTTTCTGAGGCTGTAATTTTTTACAGGAGCAGAAAGCCTCATCTTTCTCCCTAGCAGTGGTTGGTGGGTTTGAACTGCTAAATTTTCAGTTAACCCACAAGGCCACCATGGGTTCTTTTGTAATAACATTACAAACAAACAAACATAAAACACTGCCATTGAGCCTATTCTGACTCATAGTGATCCTATAGGATAGAGTAGAACTGCCTCTCTGGGTTTCTGAGACTTTAAAAAGGAGTAGACAGCCTCATTTTTTCTCCTGTGGAGTGGCTAAGTGGCTCAGGGGTTAGAACTGTTGACTAGCAGCCCAAGTATAACTAGCTATGCCACCGGAGCTTCCATGTAATCACACAGTGCCTGCTATCTACAAATACAGGAGCTCAAATGTGCCCTCAGTGGCTCGGTACTCACATGGCAGGTACTGTCCAAGCTTCTTGTGCCCTAAGCTCTAGGTCTGTGCTTTTCATACTGTCCAGCGCTTACGGTCGAACCGCTTGTGCTTACATCGTTTTTATCCAGGTGACGTCTGTTCTAAATTCAACAACTTGGCGTGTGAAACACTAGCGCCATCAGTACCAGGAGCTCTGCCAGTGTTTTCTGTGACATCTCACACCTGCTCATTCCTTGTTAATGATTTGTTTTCACAGTTAGACCAAGGAGCTGCTCCTCTTGCAGGAACAAACAAGGAATCCACCATTCAAGGTAAGGACACACCCCTCTGATAGAAGACATGCAGACAAGTGCTAGAAATGAAGAAAAGCCACTCACTGCTGTGGAGTTGATCCCAACCCACAGCAACCTGATAGGTCAGGACAGAACTGTCCCTGCTACTCTTTACGGGAGTAGAAAGCCTCATCTTTCTTCCAAGGAGCAGATAGATGATGGTTTCGAACTGTTAACCATGTTGATAACTCTGAATCCTAACCCCTCCCTTTAATAAATGTGTGGCTTTGGGGAAATCACTTAGATCTCAGTCTCTGTTTTCTTATAGAAAAAGAGATTTGTCGTGTCTACTTTTTAAGAGTTAAGTGTGTGGATCAAACCAGGTAAAGTACCAATATGACTGACCAGAGTGCCTTACACAGAGCGGTGTACTGTTCCTGAAATTAGTATTTTTAGAGAAAAGTCTAGCAGGAGTGGAGATGAAAGGCTCCAGCCTTCAGGTTCACACACACACGGGTGTGAATCTTGGTTCCATCACTTTCAATTCAAATAAACTTTCAGGATACTTTCTTGTTCAAGAAGATCACCGTCCACCACACAGCTAATCAGGATCTTAATTCTGACTATCCCTCTTTAGCCATATTAACTTAGTAAAGTCAATGTCTCTCAAAGCCTCAGTGTTCATATCTATAAGAGAAGTGAAATATTAACTTTTGGGATTTTTATGGTAACTCAATAAGCTAAGGTATGCAAGATGCCTAGCATTATACCTGGAACATAGTAAGCACTAAAATAAAGAATACATAGATGAAAATGAGTTTCCTTGATTCTAATTAAGGAGTATCTTCTATGTACATCAAGCCTAAATTTATCTCATCCAGGTCTCCTGGACCTGTACTGTGATCTTTATTGGCATGAGTGGTTTAGGTTTTCAAGATCTGCTAACAGAAAGCCAAGACAAGAAAGACTTTTCATGACAGGGACTAAGACTCAAAGAAGGCTTCCTTTCATTTGTGGCTTGCAGGGCTTGATGGGCTTTCTGCACGTTGTGCTCAGTATAAAAAGGATGGGGCTGACTTTGGGAAGTGGCGTGCTGTGCTGAGGATCGCTGACCAGTGTCCATCCAACCTCGCTATCCAGGAGAACGCCAACGCGCTGGCCCGCTATGCTAGCATCTGTCAACAGGTGCGCTGCTTTCCCTTTGAACTAAACAAAACAATAGACCAGCACTGCCTGTGGAGTCCTTGGGTGGTACAAATGGTTAAGGTTAGGAGTTCAAATCCAGAAGTCTCCAAAGAAGAAAGACTTGATCATTTATGTCTAAAAATTCAGCCCCTGGAAACCTTTTGGGCTACAATTCTACTCTAAGATACATGGGGTTGTCAAGAGTTGGATTGGACACAGCAGTGACTGGACAGGCTCATTTCTCTGAGAGCCCTTCTTCCCGACTCTCCAAGTCATCAAGGCTTGCCTCTTACTTTTCCAGTATATCTTGGTGGACTACTCCACTGTTTTTTATGTAGCCAGGTATGGTAGGTATGGGAAGCCTACCAGCAATCCAGTAGGCGTTTAATAAGCCATGAGCAAAAGGCTAATGGCCACAATTGAGTCTTAAAAGTGACCAGGCCCTTGAGACCCAGCAGTTGCTCTCTAGGCTCGACAAGTCCAAGATATGCTCCACCTAGACCCTAGTTGAAGGCTGAGAGTTCTGATCTAGTCCAAATCCAAACCCTTTCAGGGAGGGTGGTGACTTGATCCCAAAGGCTTCCAACATGTGTCCAAAAGTCTGACTCCAATTGAAGTCTCATTTGCTTCTGTGGAGACTGTATAAGGGTTGTTAGGGCAGTGGAAAACTGAGAGTGCCTATTAGAACTGAAAGCACCGCTTAACATCATTAAGTAAGTCATACAACAAGTAGCTTCCTTAGTAATTTAAGCCAATTGCCCCAAGAGTGAAAGTCAGGTTCTAAAACTACTAGAAGAGTCTCTAGAATGAAATATAGAAATTAAGATTTGTAATTTTTTAACCCCTTTCCTTTTCAAAAACAACTGCTCTTGTTTCATTTTTTGTTATGTTTTCTGGCTAGATAGCCCATCAGATTTCCTTTCACTACCATTAGGTCACTAAATTGTATTTCACATATTTCACCTGGAGAGCTTCATTTCATATATGAACCACAGCTGTTCAATCGCCTCCTAAGAAAAGGATCGCAGTGAGCACATCTTTACTTTTGTCCCCCTTTTTATTTGGTCATAGAATGGGTTGGTACCCATTGTGGAACCAGAGGTCATTCCTGATGGGGACCATGACATGGAACACTGCCAGTATGTGAGTGAGAAGGTAAGTCTTGGATATAAAGGTAAAAAGTTCTGTTGGAAAGTCTTGTTTTTAAGTAACAGTTGTTATAGCTATTTTATACTTGGAATATTCTTCAAGTTATAATCATTACGTAGCATTGAGAATGAACAAAGGAGGTGTTGACCAATTCTTCTACTTTGGGGGCATATTGAATGCTATAGAAGAAGTGCAGGGTTTTCAGTACGAAAAACTTAGCTTGTAGGACCTTAGGTTCATCATATGATCTTTCTGGACCTTTGTTTAATTATATGTAAGCTACATACAAGGGGATCTCTTAGACTGGGTTCTCTAGAGAAGCAAAACCAATGATTCCTCATAGATATAAAAGAAAAACCAATGGCATTTTATATAGAGATAGAGTTATCTGTATCAATATAGAAATTTATACCAAGAAGATGGCTCACACAGTTATAGAAGTACAAGCCCAGTTGAGTCGCCACAGATTGGTGGCTGCAGAGAGGGGTGAATCCAAGGTCAGCAGGTCAGGTTTGTGACTGGAGAGACAAGAAATCCAAGATTGGCAGGTCAGATGGCAGACTGCCAATGACTCCTGGAAACAGCAGGTAATATGGCAGCCCATTGCCTCAAACCAAAGGACCAGAGGTTACTGAGCAAGATGCAGCACCCAAACTCAGCAAAAAGCAAGTAAGCTTTCCACCAAGTCAACTTATATAGGAAGTAAGCTCCACCCCAGGAAACTTTCTTTCAATTTCATCAGAGTTGTGACCTAAGTAAGGAGATTGCATTCTACCCTCATCTTCTTACAATTGACTTCTCGCTGCAGATCCCTTTGTGAAGTTCATTACATTGTTTGGGGTCATATCATGGGGGATGACTAGGCCTTAACTTCCAAACCACTAAGAATCCTGGCCCAGTCAAGTTGCCACAAGGGTACACAAGTCAAGTTGGCACAAATCAAGTGGGCCCAGTCAAGTTGACACAAGTATCACAGGAGACTTCAAAAGTTTGTGGGGAAATGCCATGACCTTCTAATTCCATTTACCCATGAACTTTTAAAAGGTTCCCTTGTATAAGTTCTGTAGGCTCACACGAGAAACATATAATTAGAAAATACTGTGCTCACATATGATTTTCTTCATGTTCCACAGCAAACCTGGAAAAGGGTGGGTCTCTACACATGCCACGAGAGAATAAGAAAGTCATAATGGAACTTGACTTGAGTTTATTTCTTGAAAACTTGGGTGGACTGAAATGAGCTCTGAAATGACTTCTGTCTCTAAAACATCTATTTTGAAATGAGTAGAGAATGAGATAGAGATAGAGAATGGAGGCCATTTAGATATCTCCAAATAAACTAGGGCAGTCTCCAAAGAAAGGCGTTAAGCAATGGGAGTAACAGGAAGCATGTATTGAGAGCTTCTAGGAAGCAGGACTCTGTCAATAGCCCATGCAGTTGAGCCGTTAAGGTAGGGGTAGTGGGTATAAGACAGCTTTGTTGTGCTCAGTGGCTAAAGTTTGCAATGCATTGCCCTACTGGAGCCCCATAGCTAGTTGGGAAGCTCTGGCTAAACAGTATAGGGGCATTCCTTCATCCTTGTAATACAGGTGTACCTAAGAACATGATTCTAAGAGTGGCTCTAGGTTTCACCTGTTTGAATCTCTTGCCCCTCAGGTCCTGGCTGCTGTCTACAAGGCTTTGAATGACCATCATGTTTACCTGGAGGGCACTCTTCTTAAGCCAAACATGGTGACTGCTGGGCATGCCTGCACCAAGAAGTATACTCCAGAGCAAGTGGCTATGGCCACTGTCACAGCGCTCCACCGGACTGTTCCTGCAGCTGTTCCTGGTAAGACCTTGTTTCTGCTCTAATTGGAAGTCTCAGGCCTTCTCCTTTGAAGGAGTGCCACAATCACCAAGGAGGAGCTTCTGGCCATGAGTCAGACAATTTCACAGGCACTCAGCACTTCCCCTCGCACTCTGGGAGAGACTGCCCTGAGTCTACCTAAACACACAGAAGCGATCCATAACAAATCATTCCATAGTTCCATCACATCTAGCAGAATTGTACATTTGCTACCACAATCACTTTCCAAACATTCTTTTTCAAAATCCATTTATTTCCTCAGAGTTTTACCGCCCTCCTTATTCATTAAGTCATTCTCTCTTATCCATTAAAGTCATCCTCTCCTTAGCCCAAGTAGCCCCAGTCAAAGCACACTTATTTTTCTAACCCAGAGTTCCATGCACGTCAAGCAGAGTAGAGATGGAGACGTGACATTCACGGTCATTGTTTTCTTTCTCAGGGTACACGAGCGGGGGTACTAGAATGTAATGGCTCTTCTCCTTCCAGGAATCTGCTTCTTGTCTGGTGGCATGAGTGAAGAGGATGCCACTCTCAACCTCAATGCCATCAACCTTTGCCCTCTGCCAAAGCCCTGGAAACTAAGTTTCTCTTATGGGCGGGCCCTGCAGGCCAGTGCACTCAGTGCTTGGAATGGCAAGGCTGCCAACAAGAAGGCAACCCAGGAAGCCTTTATGAAGCGGGCCCTGGTAAGATGCTACTACTTCTTATCTGCTTGATCACATTAATATTTACAGCTGCCTCTCTCACGTAAGGTGGCATTGGGTTTTTTATTTGCTTGTTTATTGTCAGGTCATATAGGTATCTGCAGAGAGTGGGTACTAGATATTTTTAAATGCAGCATTAGAGCTCAGTGGAAATGTTAGGGCAAGAGAGTTTTGTGTTATCTCCATGGGGAGTATGTTATCTACATAGTTGATGACAGCAACGTGAAGGCCAATGGTAAGAAAGACATTCAGAAGGAAGAGGACTAAGAGCCGAGCCTAGGACACCATTCATTTTAGGAAGAGGAGACCCCCACAAGAGAAGCAGTAATAATATGATAGGATGAACCAAAGATTCTAGCAAGACATAAGAAAAAGTTTGAGCAATCTATAAACAAAAACAAAGCAAAACAAAACTCAACTGCCAATGAGTCAATGCTAGCTGGCTGGAATTGGCACTTAGAAGCATATGTGTGAGCCTCAACAAAATAAAGAAAGAGAAGTGTGTCAGAAAAAGGTCTAAAACGGTTAGCAGGATGATTGAGTACAAAAAAACAGGTTTTATTCTATTACTAATCACTATTTTTGGAAAACTTACTAGGAGCCAAGCACGGAGGTGAACAACTCAGATATATTCCCTGTCCTTTGTAAGCTTAGAATTTAGCCAAACAGAAATGCACTGGGCATGTTTCCATATAGAGCAAAGGATTCACTGGGAGGAGAATGGGAATCATTGAAGGATCAATGGCTTATTAGGCATAAAGTTGCACGTGGCTAAATATCAAATATAGATATTCCGTTGGTCTTAGAAAGGAGGAACGAGACAGACGAGAGGAAAGAGACTAGATTTGGAATTCACCTTGTAGATGAGATGTAGCTGTTGATCACTGACTGCAGGTGAGAGAAACTGTTGAGAATGAGAAGGCATGAAGATTTTAATCCTCATCATGGGAAAGTCTAGACGAGCAGTTGGAGGAGTCAGCGAGGAAAGTCACCAGACATTATGGTCAGACATTACAGCAAAGCGCTTAGTTTTGAGTCGTGTTGCTGGCACAATATGTTGGCACTAACAAGAAATTTCTCCAGTAACTGATGCCAACTTTAGGGTTGTCCACGATGTGCTCAGGGAGCTAGGCTATGAAAGAGATGCCTTTATAGAAAGAAGGCGGTGGGAGCAGCACCAGTGATCAGCAAAATCCCTGAAAAGAACATTCACGTGAAGGTATAACCAGAACCGAGCCCACGCCCACTGCAGCTACGGCGACTCCTGCCCACAGTGTTTCCATTGGAGCTGGTTGGAGCCACAGCCTTGCAGTGAGCAATGCCTAACCCTCAGTGCCACTCATCTGCCTACTCCCTCTCTCACTGTCCCCGAGCCAATTTTAACTTACAGTGACCCTACAGGACAGGGGGTGACTGCCCCTGCAGGTTTCGCAGGGTGTGCGTCTTTGTGGTAGTGGAACGCCTCACCCACCAGGTCAGCCCAAACTAAACAAACTCCCTGCCATCGAGTCAACGCTGACTCCCAGCGACCCTATAGGACAGAAAGAACTGCAGCTGTGGGCTTCCAAGACCCTAACTCCTTTTAGGAGTAGAAAGTCTTGGTGGTTTTGAATTGCTAACCTTTCGGTTAGCAGCTCAACTAGTAACCCCCTATGCCACCAGGGCTCCCACTACGTACAGATGGTTTTAAATAAGAAGCAGAGAACATCAAGCCCAGGACTTTGGTTCACTCTAACTCCATCTATTCTTTCCCTTGTGTTTCAGGCTAACAGCCAGGCAGCCAGGGGGCAGTATGTTCACACAGGCTCCTCGGGTTCTGCTGCCACCCAGTCGCTCTTCACCCCCAGCTACACCTACTAGGACCTCTGGCCGGCCAGCACCGCTCTCTCTTCTACGTGTCTAGGAGGAGCACTGGAAAGGACCCTTTCGACTGACCCTGGGAAGGAGACAAATTAGTCATCACTACTGGAAAACCCAGTGCCATAGTCTTACACGCAAGATACATCCATCAATCAATTTATGGAAACACACAAGCACAAATATCAAGGATATGACACAAGTTCACACCTCCCCTTCCTTGTAACATTTCCGACTCCCCGCACCCCAGAGTATTCATCTAAAGAAAATAAAAGGTTTTAAAACAAAATCAGCTTTCCATCCAAATAACCAGCACCAAGCAAAACATTTCAAAAGCTGAATGTGGAGAAGTGTGTCTTACTAAAGAGCTTACGTTAAACTGAAGTGTGTCCTTCTACACAGTGGTGTGCGATATAGACAGCCGCCATGGAGGGAGAAACTATTCTATAAACCTTGCATGGGTATCAGATTTTACTTTTCTGCTCTGGTTTTGAAAGGGCTTGTTCTATTTCATTATTTTTGGCTGCCCTCGATGTGACTGGCACGAGTGATCAGGGTCCTTAATGTTTACTTCTTTGGAAGCACCTGGCAGCATTTTAAGAAGTCCAGGGGCTCAGGCTACACCGCAGCTCAATGAAACCTCTTTGGTGATTCCAATTTTCAGCTAAATTTGAGAACTGTCATCTTATGCTTCAAGTTTGGGAATGTTTAAAAATTAAAGCCATGCATAATATGAAATCACCTAAAATGTAGCATGATTTGGGGCAACATACGGAGTGTAATAAAACAGAATCAATGTGGCTTTGATGCCTGGGAGATTCTCCTCTGAGTGGCCCCTTTGTGATGACATAAGACTACTACAGCTTCTACAGAGCCCATCATATTAACATAATCATACTTCACTGGCTTTTGATTTTCAGAATTCACCTTTAAAAAATGATGAAAAGCAATCAGTCTACAAAAGAGAATTTAAACATAACCTTGGGATACAAAAGTAATGACCAGAGCTTTGAAGCCAGTTCAGTCAGGGTCATGAGAGCAGCACCCGAGACAGACCCAACTTTTAAAACTGCGAGAGAACCAGCGCACTAGTCAGAATGGGGAAATTATGGGCCAGAACCTGGCTAGCAACTTAATCCCCCTACCAGGGAAAAAGGACACCATGTGGGTTTTTGCATAGCAACCAAATCTCTTGACCAGCTGAGTCGAAAATATTGATACTATGCTCAAAGGGAGTGGCTGGCCGAGGCGCTTTGAAAGTGCGTCACTCTCCACAGTCCTGGCAACTATCCAGTGTCACCCTACAGGCTTCAGAAAGGGCTCCCTATACCGCCTCTGCGTCTCCAGTTCCAGGGCTTCGACCCCTAATTTTCCCCATTCCCTTTAACACTCCTTTTCACTATTAAAACAGTTTTTAAAATTTATGTGATGGGATCATTTCATCAGCCGTGAGTAAATTGGTCTAAAGCTCTGGATTTAATGGACAGAGCCGAAGAAAACAAAATGGAAGAGTGGAGGAAAACAAAGGAGATACTAATACACTTAGTGGGGAGTCAGGAATACTACTTAAAATTGATGAGTTGATAAATAGTGCTTAAGTCTATTAAAGTAATAAAGGAAATGGATATAAATCACCCATCTATACGCATCTTTAAAATATAAGGTAAGGTAAGGAACTAGATTTCTGGCTTGGATAACAGGAAAAACTATTAAAAACAATTCAGATTTTAAAATAGAGGCATAAGTATATTACTCAGAAAAATAAAACAGTTCATCTAAATATGCATCATCTTTTGAGAAGAAAGGCCTGGAAGTGGGACATAAGAAAAGAGACTTTTATTTATTCTATGCCCTCAATACTATTTGAATATGTATTTCCATATCCTTGTATGACTTGTCTAAGAACAAGTGTGCTCCTGGTACAGATAGGAACTGAAAATATAGGGAATCCAGGGCAGATGAGCCCTATAGGACCAGTGGTGTGAGTGGCGAAACAGGGAGGGTAGAGGGAGAGTAGGTAGGAAAGAGGGAACCGATTACAAGGAACTATATGTGACCTCCTCCCTGGGGGACGGACAACAGAAAAGTGGGTGAAGGGAGACGTCGGACAGGGCAAGATATGACAAAATACCAATTTATAAACTATCAAGGGCTCATGAGGGAGGGGGGAGCGGGGAGGGAGGGGAAAAATGAAGACCTAATGCCGGGGGTTTAAGTGGAGAGGAAATGTTTTGAGAAGGATGAGGGCAATGAATGTACAAATGCGCTTGACACAATTGATGTACGTATGGATTGTGATAAGAGTTGTATGAGCCCCTAATAAAATGATTAAAAAAAAGAAGAAGAACTCACGTCACCACAGCATGGATGGTATGTTCCTTAGGTATAAGAATTCGGTTGTGGTTATGTAGAAAAATGTCCTCCTTAAGCAGACACAAAGAGGCTTTTAAAAGTTCATGAAAAGAAATCCCATTACCTTTTAATTCCATTTTCCATGAACTTTATGAAGCCACTTCACATAAACTGAAGCATGAGTGAAGGGTCATCTCATGAACAACTGTTAACTGGTTTGGGGGGCAATTAAAAGTCATGTATGTATGTACCCCTCTCTCTCAGATCTGTGGAAGAGAGAAATAGAGTGAATGTGACAAAATGTTAAAAGAAAAAAGAACAAGTGTGCTCATCAGAGAGATTCAAGTCAACCATGAAGAGTCTTTAGCCCAGGGCTTTCATTTTACTGGGGGCCCTGGGAGTGTAGTGGTTACACATTGGGCTGCTCACAGCAAGGTCAGCAGTTCAAAACCACCAGTGTCTGCAGCAGAAAGGCAGGGCTTTCTACTCTCGCAAAGAGTTAGTCTGGAAATGCACAGGGGCATTCCTACCCTCCCCCATGGGTCTCTGTGAGTTGGAATCCACTCCGTGGCAGTGAATTTGATTTGTTTCATTTCATGGATGATGCTAAAGCCCAGCCCGAAGCAGTACGTTAAATTGTTGAGGGCCACATATTTAGTATAGCTCTGAGCCATTACAAGTCAGGTCTTGTTCACATAGAAGAGGCATCCTGGTGGCAGAGTGGGTTGTGTGTTGGGCTACTAACTGAAAAACCAGCAATTCAAAACCACCAATAGCTCTGAGGAAGAAAGATGAGGCTTTCTACTCCTGTCAAGAGATAGAGCCTTAGAAACCCACAGGGGCAGTTCTGCCCTGCTCTAGAGTTGCTATGAGTTGGCATAGACTCAGTGGCAGTGAGTTTGAACTTGAGTGACCTATACAGCGGCACATGGCCAGGGAGTAAGGTAAAGGCAGCGCCCTAGGTAGTGTGCACTACTTCTGTAACAGGTGTTGTAAAACCAACTCCCCAACAACTCATAGCGACCCCATGGGACAGAGGAGACCTGTCCCTGTGAGTCCCCCCACGCCGTCGCTCGTTTTGGGAGTAGGAAGGGCTGGCTTGCTTTCACAGGTGGTGCAGGTCTTCTACCTTTCGTCTTGTTTCCTTGGTTCCGTTAGCAAGCACTTCAATTCCTGTCATGGCCAAGTTGCTGCAGATGCTAGTCACGTCTTCTATTACATGGCTCTTCTGCCAGAAAATTTGTATCAAGAGCTTACTCAGAATCCCTGAGCTTATGCTCTAAGGAAACCCCTAAGATGCTCATTTATCAGTTGAAAAAGATTTATGGTCAAGGAAGAGTTATTTATATCCGCTTGCCTAGTCTGAATATATTTCACTAAAGGTGAGACTTATAGAACTCACTTTTTTTTCCTGGCTATTATCTTATGCACTTTCTGGACTAAAGGGCTACCTTTGTAACCCCCCAACTCTAGTATTTTCTCTTATGTAAAATTGAGTTATGAGGCTGCAAACTTCCATTTCCATTAACTGTGTCGTCGCCTGAGTGACTATATTTCCTGATGCTAGCATTTGATACAGGAGCCCTCATGACGCAGTGGTTATGTGTTGGCTGTGGTCCGTATGGTTAGTCGTTCAAAGCCATTAGTAGCTCCACAAGAGAAAGACTGGGCTTTCTACTCCTATGAACAGTTACAGGCTTGGAAAGCAGCAGCAGGTTGTTATGAGTCAGCATTCACTTGATGGCCACAAGTTTTTGAGTGAGAGCTTTAGATCTTTGTCACATTTATTCTACTAGCTACTGAATTATTTCTCAAAATAAAGCCAGGTGCTAGGCCTGGAAAGTAATTAAGAGACATTTTAGTGTCATGCAGGGGACCCATGGGTCCTGCATACCAGTTAGGTTTAAATAGCTTTAAAAAAAAATGAAACTATCCCGGAGTAAGAAAATATTTTGATAGGTCACAAGGAAAAGATAACACCTCCCAAGAACAATTGTTAAGAGCTAAGGCCACAAAAGAAAATGCTGGGAGGAATAATAAAAAGAGGAATTAATTTGTGCTCTGAATCTGGAGGCTAAGAGAATGGAAAGAAAAGACAGAGAAATGAAGGAGAAAGGAGAGGGAAGAGAAGAAGCAGGGAGAATGTAACTGTAGGGAGGAGACTAAAGATTTTTGAGGCTTGTGAGAAATATCAAGCAATCTAAAGCTATTTGGCTTCTGGTGCAAACGGTCGGTTCTGACTTTCACGAGCCTATGCCATGCTTTACCAAGACAAACACAGACACACAGACACACACGGTACTACAACACTTACCAGGATCTGTATTGCCAATGAATTTAGCAGTAACGGAAACCAGAGGTGACAGTGAGAATTTAGCTTCTAGAGACGTGCTGCCATCTCGGAGCTGGCTTTTGGTAAAGCAGGGAGGGGCCTTGCAGTCTCTGATTTAGCTCTCCTGCACTGAGAGACTCCAGTTGGCATCTAGATTTCCCTTACAGCAACAGCTGGAAAAACAGGTCCAAGTTCATACAACCAGTAGGTGGGATTAAGGTCAGTGTGGTTTCTAAAGGCATTGCTCACGAAGGGTTAAACGCATAGGTTCTAGAGCCAGGCAGTCTAGAATAATGCCCTTTGGATGATCACGCAGTGCCAGGCATCAATATAATGAACATATACAAACCACCAAACCAAAGTCACTGCCAAGTTGATGCTGACTCACAGCGACTCTATAGGACAGGGGAGAACTGCTCCTGTGGGTTTCCAAGACTGTAACTCTCTGTGGAAGTAGAAAGCCCAGTCTTTCTCGTGAACATATCCCAGGGGACTTTCAAAGCAGTCGGAAAAATGGTCTTTATTAGCTTTATTTCCATTTCCCCCCACAATTTTGAAGCCTCCTCATGTGTGTGTATAAATATAAATATGCATATACACATAAAGTATATACCCCTCAGCCACCTGTCAAGCATTGAATACCTATTCCTTGCCCAACACTGTAAGATGCCACTTGGACCTTGTAAGCTTATTATTGAGAAGATGGAGACAAAGATACGGTTAGTAAACAAACAAAATGGCAGACCACGTGTGGTAGATTACAGTAGCACAGGCCATAGACTGAGATCCATAGGGGAGGTGGACTAGGTTGCTGGCAGTTTATTTATTGCTAGTTATGTTACGTAGTATCATGTAACATACTGAAGTCTCTCTGAGCCAAGTTTCCTCATTTACAAAGCAGAGCTGTGATAGTTTGTAATATTATATACACAGGACCAAATACATGGTGATTACTAAATGGAAAGAGTCGACAATTAGGAACGCACATAAATTATCCGAGTCCTGGCTAGAGTACAGACAATATGTGCTGAGAGGTTTGTGGAAATGAGACGAAAATGGTGAAGTCAAGTAGACTGGTCAGGGGAAAGGAGGGGGTGTTATGGAAAGTTTTGGCTT